CCTGCAGGAGAAGTTGGCAGCTTGTGGACTGGAAGGGGCTTAATGCAACCCTAGTGCCAGGACGAGCGGTGAAGGGGCCAGCCACCAAGGTGAGTGGCCACGCCCGGCCCCTAGTGTCTTCGTGGCTTCCTGCACAGTAAGCAGGTCTCAGCTCGGAGTTACGGAAAACAAGCTTTCTTTAATTAACAAGGTACAGGAGAATGACTAGAGGTCAAAGCCCAAGGCTGCAGTGCCAACAGCTGACACCTGTGCTGCACGGGTCACCCAGGAAGTCACCCCAAGATGGGAAACATGGGGCTCCTGGTGCTTAACCCCCCACTGGCATGGCAACAGACATGCTGGGTGGGAGCCCAGGCGCCTGGCATCCGAAGGGCAGCCTGGTGCCTCCCTGTAGGTGGGAGGGTCCCAGGCCTGACTCTGCTTACCTCGTCCAACACACAGGGCACCCAGCTCACAGCCAAGAAGGCCAAAGAGGCTCCATCGGCCGAGCCCAGGAAGAGGCTTCCCCTGCCTGGGGCAGGGACAGCACCACCAGGTTTGGCACGATCTGCCAGGGCGACTCATTTGCCCTGAAAAGTGTTTTGGTTCACCCAAACAAGGACAGGAAGCCACACCACCCCGCTGAGCTGCATGGTCTGCACGGGCAGTGTCTCCAGAGAAGGCCGGGGTGACCAAGCCCAGGCAGGCCCAGCGGGAGTGCCTCTAGGGGCCAGTAAGGCTCTGGGCCCTGCCCCTCTGTGCTCCTGCTGATGACTGTAGCTGTCCTCACGCTGCCCACCTGCTACACCCCATCTGGGTGCACAGTAACAGCCTCTGCACTGCAGCAGCATTAAAGTCTGCCCTGCGGCTTCTGCTTAACTTTCTAATTTGAAGAGCAGAGTCTGCCATCAGTCTTTGTCCTGCCCTTCCCGGCACTGCCTTTTTGTGGTACAAAAAGTAACACAGAGCTGTACTGAATGGACACATTGCTCTGGTTGTTACAATGTGCATCCTGGCCTCCTGAGGACGCTGAGAGGTGGCCATCGGGACCTGCGTGCAACAAAGGGACGTGCACACCCTCACTGCTTCCTCGGGAACCTGGTAGCCACGTCCTAGAAAGTAGCTCAGCTCCCCGTGAGGCACCAGCATGAAGCTGACTGGTGCTGCAGACGTGCCCACACAGCCTCTGCTTCATCTTTGGATGGTTCGTAACCTGAGGGCTGTGCGGACTCCGGAGTCCTGACAGAAAGAAGGTGGACCTTTGTGGGGCTGTAAATCGAGGGGCGGGAAGTGTGATCCACTCCTTAGAACACTGTGAAGGGGAAAGAAGTCTGCTGCAATGGTTAAATGAAATTTTATAAGCACGTTCGGCGGTGGAGCTGTTTTGCATTACATGAGGTGAATGCCTCAGAGACGCCACATCTGCAGGCACTTTATTAAATCCTTACTCAGCACTTTCCAACCTGATGAGATTACTTCTTCATCCGACTGGAGAGCAGGAAAGCTGAGCTCTGGTCCTGGACTGCAGATTCCTTTTGATGTTTCACCTTGAACACTGGAGAGGACACACCCCCCTTCACAGCACACCCCCTGCCCTAGACCTCACGCTGGAGCTAATTGCGCCCAGCCGGCGGGTGGAAGTAAGACTCCGGGAGGGGCTGCAGCCCAGTGTCCTGCGGAGAAAACAGATCAAAGCTCTGTGTTTACTTCCTTAATGTAAATATCCCGAGATAGCATTGTCAGATACCACACTGTAATATTGCAGCTCCTGCAGATAGGATGGGGGCTCCTTTGTAGTCCTCGGGGTACAGCAGGGTGGATTAAGGGGCTATAAAGTAGGAAGGCAGAAATCCAAGCCGCTGTCAGTAACTGTCTGAAGATGATTTTTTGACCCTCCATAAGTGAGCTGTATTTCATGTGTCAACATTTTCCCAGTGATTTGCTGTTCCACCTCAACAATTTAACAATCTCAGATTTCCCTTCTGTTTTTCTGTGTGGCTCAGGAAGGGAATATGCGGACTGATTCTTCAGAGAATGTTTTGAAACTTGCACTGTTTGCATAAGAGAGGCGGAGAGGGAAGTGGGCTTTCCAGCATGGTGGCCCGGTGGCCCCGTGAGCAGTGGCCTCAGCTCCCTGCAGTGACACAGCTGACCACATGCAGCGCACACCTCACCACAGCTGGAGAATGTCAGCTGCAGACTGGTGCTGAGACCAGCTGGCCACATAGGTGTATTGTGGTTCTCCTTAGAACTGTTCATCAGCTACTGCTGCAGATGACCTAGCCAGAGCAACCTCATTCGAGGAAAAATCCTCTGTGCAGTTCCCTGACTGACTTCCCCTCCTGGAAAGTCCTGGTCAAGTAGCTGGGTTAATTGTCATGACGATTAGTGTGATGTTGGAATAAGTACTAATGGTCAAATTACAGGAGTGGAAAAGTGGAAGAATAGGTTTGGGTCGGGGCCTGAAAGGGTTAATTAAGGTTTTTCATGGGTTAATAAAGACCCCCAACTCCTGTCTTCAGAGTCATATTGACGCCCGCCCCGGGGCGGCCCTGCCTCTGTTGAGGCGTTGCTGGTCAGAGCACAAAGGGCCTCTGTGTCCGCACATCGTTGCTAAAATCATCTCAAGGAAAGAAAGTTCGCAAGCCTCAGCCGAGACAAAAGCCCAAGAGTTGCAGTGCGCAGCTCAAAAAGCCGGAGTCAGCAACTTCTATTGATTAAAAACTAACCTTTAAAGTAACTCAGAGAGTGTGTGGTTAGCATTTAAATTTAAACATGTCATGAGTTGATTTGTGTTGCTGAATACCAACTCCGAAGGAGTAACATTCGCATCGCGTTTTTTTTTTCTAATTCCCCTAAGCAGCTAAAGTATTTCATGAAATGTCAAGAGGGCAGCAGGAAGAGGCGAGGGGCCGGGCTGGGCCTTGGAGTTTTCTTTCCCATGCAAATATGCACCCCCAAAGGAAAGTGTGCAGGGTGAAACACAATAATTAGTCCTTTGTCTAACTTTCCCAAGCGCCAGGGAAAGACAGATTAATTACATGTACAACAGTGTTGGTTTTTGGAGTGGGGGTCCCGCTTGCTCTGTAAGTCATAAATTAGGCAGAATAAATACTTCAGTGTATTTGCAGTGGGCCTGCTACGTCAGAACCACTGGAAGGCTGGTGGGAGGAGAGCGAGGGTTTCTTGCTAATGATAGTCACGTCTGGGTCTGTCTGGTTGCTCATAGCAACCAGACATGATGTAACACCAGGATGAACTTGAACTTGGGGGACTTGAAAAGGGAACAATAGACCAGAGCAATCAATAAAGCCTATTTCAGTGAAGGATTACAGAGCTGCTCTGGGTAACCTTGTCGGCAAGGCACACACTGAATAGTAAGATGTGTGAAGAAACTTTTTTTCTCTTGCTCTGCTTTTTAAGAGAAGTGCAGAGGCACTGCAGATTTTCGTGGTGCCCTGAGGTCTGGTCCAGACGCGGTGGCCTGGAGAACTGCTCCCCCTGCCGACTCCCCGAAGCCTCCGTCCTGGGCCTCTTCACAGGAAGTCCCAGACTTCCCACCTTCAGGAAGTCAGGTTGCACCCGCCTCAGAAAGGGCGCTGAGCATGCTGCTTCTCAGGCCAGAGCCCAGCTGCCAGCGTGGTGGCTGTGTGGCTCCGTGTCCGGAGTGCAGGCCCACATGGGGTGCTCTTCGCCAGCTCCCTCATCATTGTTCTGTCCCGTTAGACTCAGTTTGCTGCTGCCAGGACGATTTCCTTTTAGGACACAGAGGCTGTGTTGTGATGCCCAAGCACGAGGTCAGGGAAGGGCATCGCAAAGTCCTCCGGACGAGTCCTTTCTCAGCTCGGGTTAGGGTTTTTGATTCCTCTGGAAATCAGAGGTGGCTGGTGTGGCTGGGAAATCCTATCCCAACCTCATGGAGCTGTCTCCGAGCCACTGATCCCGGATCAAACAGCTCGTACTTCCTAACTGAATCTCAGGGATAAGGACAAGCCATCTACTCACAGAGTCAAGCAGGCTGCAGCCCTTTCTGACACAGCAACTTAAGAGTCCCAAGGCCCCGCTTTGGGAGAAGGGTCTGACATTCCCGTGACCAACGACAGCTGCAGTGGCTTATCACAGTGTTGCTAGCACAAAGTTTGCAGAAGCCATGCACTTCTTAATTTCACTTGGGAAACTAGTGCTCGTCAATCCTTGGACAAGTTGTTTACCTGGCTTTGTTTCTTTGCTAGCAAAAAAAGGCCAGCAGGTGAAGCGATGCACTGGTGGAGGGACAGGACGGTGGGTGCCCCTCAGGGCTCTGGGCATCCCTAAGGTGAAGGCTGGCCGCTTGCTGATGGTTATGTATTGCTTCCAGAAATAGTACTTTAGAGATACCAGGCTGAACAGAGCGCCGACTTGCATCCCAAGCCCAGCTCTCAAGAGTGACTGCCTGGGGTCGCCTGGGTGGGGGCCTCCACAGCCCTGCTCACCTTGGCCTGGGCCGGTCCTCACGGGTCACTGCTGCCCTTGAAGCAGTATGTTGATCACACCTTCAGCAGGGATCCCTCGTTTCACAGGATACTGTAGAACCCATGAGAGTGGCCACTGGCAGCCGCCCCTTCCATTCCCAGCACTCGCTCCTGGGGAATGAAAAGGACCAGTCCCCCCACTTGAGGGCTGGTGGCAAGCAAGGTGCTCAGGCTTCTTGCCCCACAGGGGCAGAACTGGGTGTGTGTTTCCAGCAGGCGGAGCTGCTGCATACTGCCAGCACACTCAGGACACGGGCAAAGCCCGGCCAGACCTTGGGTTTCGCTCTAGAGGAGCAACCCGTGGTCTCCACAGCTGCTGTTGCACTCCTTTACCTTGTCCAGTGAACCCCCGACGTCGACCCTGATTGCGTGGCTGGAAGGGCAGCTTCTGAAATACGCTGGGTTTTTTTTATAAGTTGGACTGTTTTTTTAGCAGTGCTAAGGATTGAACTCTGGACCTTGTCCACACACAGCTATGCTTCTAACCACACTTGCCCTTTTGTCTTCCAGTCTTGGTACCTGGGATAAAAGTCACAGCGTCCCACCACCCACCAGACAGACCACCTGACCCCTTCTCAACTCTGTAACATGGACGCAACCTCAGCCCCGCGTGGTTACAACTTCACTGTCAGCGGAAGGGGAGAAAACACCGATTCAGATCCACCTGTATATGGAAACAGCAAGCATTATGGTCAAACAGCAAAGGCCATAACCTTTTGGGATTTTTTTTTAAATACTTTAGGGACTGTTGTAATTTCTCATATGGTGCTGGAAATGGCTGGGCTTTGTAGCATGTGAAGTGTTCGCGGGGCGTGAGCTTAGGAGCTGTGGCTGGCAGAGCACGAGCCTTGCTCACTACTTCCTGTTGCAACACCCTTCCCTCTCAGAGCCCGCTGTTTCACAGTATTTCATGAATGACCCACGCGGTGTGGCCTCCCTGAGCAGGCGGGAGGCACACGGAGAACTAAATCTTTCGTAGTAGCTGAGATCTGCAATCTATACTTACGGGACAGTCAAAGGGCGATGTTTCTGTAACATATTGGAAAAAGAGAATGCAGTTATGTTCTTTTTCTATTTTTCTTTCAGTTTGGTTTGGTTCAGCCGTCAGCAGTTAAGCCCATACCATGGCCCGCAAGGACAGTGAACCCGCTCACGTTGCAGAACAATTCCGAAAATGGCAAACTACTACTACTATTCAGTTTTTAAAAAGTCTTGAAATGCTGCACTTACATTTAAAAAAAGAACAACATTTTTTTCAACAATTTCAACAATGACACAAAAATTCACACGGAAATGGGGAAGATGGTCTGTTTTGATAGAAACTGACAGGAAACGATCAAAACAATCGAATTTTGAATTGAGTGAAGTGCAATTTCATTGGATAGCTAAATATCTTTGTAAGATAGAGATTGTTGAAAATTCTATTTTTGTTTTTCAAGTCCTTCCACCCCAGGACTCTAAATTATTGGGGTAAAAAACAGCCTTGCAAGAAAAAGGGGAGCTATTTTTGCTTTTTATGTTTTTTATTGTTAAACTTGTATCCCTTTAAAAACTGAAGGAAAATTTAAAAAAAAAACAAAAAACAAATCTAATGGTGCTTTTACCACAATATGTTAACTACATTAAATGCTAATTAATTATTTTCTGTTATCAAAGCACATAACTAAAATGAAATCATGGTATCTGTTAATTTTATAAGCTAGACGTCACTATCATGCATTATACCAATTCTGAAAAATTTTTACATGTATCTGGCAACATAGGATTTATCAGTTATCAGACACCTCATTCTACCAGAGATTGTCCAGAATTTTAAAGGCCTTTGCGTCCCTGAACTGGGCTATGGGAAAATGATGATGTTGATGATGATGATGATGATGATGATGAAACCAATACTGACACAAATGGTGGTGCCCACTCAGATCAAGGGTACTCATTAGGAAATAACAAAAAAAAAGTTTGCACCCCCAAATGTCCTGTATCTTACGTAAAACAAAAAAACAAAAAACAACAAAAAAAAAAAAGAACAGAAACAAAAAAATGCAAGTAATTTTTCTACCAGACAGCGAAGCTTCCCTTTGCTTCTCGTGCAGCCTGGAGGTTTCCTGTGCTATACATATATACGCATCCTGGCGGCGGCCGCGCCGGCCGAGGGAGTCTGCATGTTCTAGTGTTAGTGACTAATTTTCATATAGTTAACGTAGGCTAAAGTAGAGTGCGTTAAGACACACTATTGTAACCCTCCTCTAGGCACTTGCCTTTAAACTATGTTTTCCAGCCCTTCAGAAGGGTCCTACTACTGTCCTATACAATCAAGTAACTGAAATTCTTGGGAAGTCACTTTGCTCCTCATCTTTCCCCCAAAAAACAATGTTGTTTTGTTTTGTTTTGTTTTTCCTTAATTTGCACGAAAACAAAAATTCCATATCAATGTGCCTTGCCCTGGATAGCAATTATTTGTGGAATTGTTGCACATGCTCCTCTATTGAAGGGGTTTCCCTCGTCAAGCATTTGGAGACACTTTTTGTAAATGTGACTGTTGTGTCGGCCCCCGTCGGTTTCACCATCTAGAACTGAGTAGACAGTTAGTTGTCCGCAGGTAGGAGTAGTCTTTATTGTCTGGTGTGGTCAGTGGCCGTGCTATTCTGAGATCTGTAGCGGCTTAGAATATCAGTGTTTTGGATGTTGCTGCGTTTTACAATTTATTTGGAGTCTTCCTTTATTTCCCCCCCCCCAGATGTATGAAAATATGCAATACCTGCTTATATCATGTAGAGAAGCTTAGCAATGATTAATTTTTCTTTTTTTTTTTAATTTGACCAAAGTCAGTGCTGCACTTGACGCAGTGTGTTTAGGTGTTCGTCTTTGTGCTTTTCTGTGATTTTTGAATGCACGTGCGCAGGAAGGGCTCCTCTTAGAGAGCAGTCAGACTGTGAAGCACTAAGCTGACCCTGCTTCAAGCAATTTTGTTTTTACAACTGTTCTTTTCACAAGCAAGCCTTAAAAAAGACAACTCCTTTTTCTTCAGCTCCCACGCCCCATTTTTCTTAGCAGACTGCAGTCAATCCACATTCAATAAAAAGTATATAATGCCCATTTTTATATGCACGTTTTTAAACTTCCAAGTTCTGAAAATTGTTTACTGGTATCTCTATTTAAGGAAAAATAATAAAATAAAACATTTTGGATTTTCCTACGTGTCTGGTAAGTGGTTGAATAGTCGTTTGGCGCTGTTGTACGGCGTGATTGTCAGCGTACGTGTCACTTCCTGTAGCCAGCAGACTTTGCCTTCCCCATAGCACCTAGCTGGGCATTACTTTATGATGACATATGTGCACTAAAAAGAAAAAAAAAGAAAAAAAGGAAAGAAAAAAAAGAAAAAATAGCAGCTTTCAGTGCTTCACAGTGAAGGGAAAAAAGCCTAGACAAACATTTTGTCAGAACCTTGCGATAGGCCAAGGTCTTACCAGGAAATTGGTTGTATATACAATAAAATTGCACCCTTTTTTAAACAAAACAAACTAAGCAATAGCTTGGGCAGTTTTAGTTGTTTTTAGTGAGCATGTTGTAGTCATGACTGCAAAGAGAGGATAAACTGCCCACTGAGAAGATATGTAATTTGTATTGTTGTATAGTTTTATTGATTACACTGATTTATTCTACCCTATTTTATAATGCAGGACTTTTGTAATGTTGTTTAAATGAGGAAACATTTCTGTCAAATTAGCCTAGTGAAATTTCTGATTGTTCATTATAAAGGCAGCATTCATAGAATTGCTTTTCTTTTTTTTTTTTTTTTCTCCCCTGTGGGAACTGGACTTAAGTTTAAAACTTTCCTGTTTCCTTTTTTTTTTTTTTTTGTAAGTATTTAAATACAGTTATTTTTTTCTCTCAATGGTATAGCATATGCCTATGCTTGAGAAGTGTAGGTCTACTGAGAAACCATTGTAAATGGACGTTACAGGTATGCTGTATTTTTGAAGGTATTTTGTTGTATTAAGTTTGATGAAGCTAAAATTAGGGAACTCTGAACAGATTTGCAGGAAAATATGTTTTAAAGGCTTTAAAACAAGAGAGCGGCAGTCGAGGGTGATGATGGACAGGGGTTAAGTATTAAACACACTAAGTTACCTTTTTGTTCGCCTTGTATCATCCAGAAAGCAGCAGGAAACTAGTTCGGTAGTGATCAGTGGGAAAAAAGCAACACCAGTCCCTGGGCGTTTGGCTTTCTAGGCTAAGAGCCAAGCAGAGACACTGGAGGAAGACTTTGCTCCCGGGTGTAGACAGACAGGCCAGTGCGGTCCGCATGTGGAGGCCCAGCCCCTGCTGCTGGGACCCTGGGGCCCTGGGACCCTCTCTCTCCCATCAGACGGCATTAAGGTTGGCAGAGGGTCCCTTGCAGGGCTCTCCGAGTTTTTCCTTTGGCAACTGAAGTCATGAGGCACAAACACTAGCTCTTCCCCTCTCGGCCCTGTGCAGGCTGAGAACGGCCCTCCCACGCTCCCTCCTGCCCCACGCCGCCCGCCCTGGGCCTCCTTGCCCCCGAGGTTTCCATTTCTTTGCCTCTTGGTGCAACACCTATTTATGTCTTCTCTGCCCACTGCGGCTCCATCCAGCAGGCTCCACGCAGCCCACGAGCACGAGGCCACGCGTGTCCCAAAGCCTGCGCTCCCTTTCTCCCTCCTCCGTGGAACGCGAAGGACCCAAATGTGCAGCACAGAGCTCGGCCAGCCCACAGGAGGTGCCCCCCCACCCTCGCGCCCCTCAAACCCTGGCCCCTTGTGCTTGGCTCCAGTGGTGACCGGGCCAGAAAGTGTTCATGAAACCTGCGTGAAACACGTCCCCGGGGCTGCCTGCGGGGGCTCAAAGGCTGCCGTTCGGTGTACTCCGCGCTTGTTCCCGAGGCTCCCTCCCGGACCCCAGGGGTGGCGCCCTCTCCGCTCCCGCGTGTTTGTCTCCGTCTCCTTCTGGTTGTTGTCTTTTGTTCCTTTCTTCCTGGTTGTTGGTGCAGGCCTCCATAGAACAGTCAGACACAGCGGACAGGGGTGTGGGCCCAGCTTTGGGGCGCCTCCCACCACCTCCAGGCCTGGCCTCACTGGGGCAGCCACCCAGGTCCCGAGGCCGCCTGTCATGAAACACGTATAAATCTCGGTCTGACCACACACCCGCCCTGCCCTCCCCAGTCCGAGGCTACGCGCCCGTCTCATTAGCGTCGTGGATGTTTCCCTTCTCTTTTTCCCAATAAGAAATGCAGTGGGATGAAAATTGCTTTGATATATAGCAGGTACCATTGAAGCTATTCCATAGCACTTAACTGTAGTGAATACTGTGTCACCAATTCTGAATCAATCTAATGTTTAATGCAAACCCATTACATGGTGCTATTACAGGCTGACAAAATGATTTACACAAATGTGACAACTTGGGCTCAATTCACTTTGCTTTCCAACAGTGTAAATGCATAGCAGTGTTTATCTGCATGAGAACTATGCACTAATCTATCTGAAGAAAACTATATCGACTTTGGTATCTACTTTCCGTTTACTTCAATCCTTGCCTTTTTGGTCATTGTTATAATGCCAGCTTTAGGACAGAAAGAATTATAAGAAAACCAGCATAATACCTGATATATTAAAATGTAGTGCCTGTGAAATCTGTATTATATTGCTCTTCTGAAGTAAGATTTTTCTACACCGGTAGCCTTCGCTGTCTGTCGGTCAGGACCTCTGGTATAGGTGATGTAAAATAACCGTACAATATTAATGCATGCTCTCCATATGCTTAGTGAACTGTATGAATATTACTCAGAATTATGTTAGTCTTCTTTTCTGACTTGGTTCTTGTCAGCTAGGTTTAAAGGTATTTCACTGAGAATGAGAATTCTGTCTCTTGATTTCTGGTGTTTTCAGTATTTTGGAGGTATACATTTACTTAAATTCAGTATTACTTGTGTTTTGTTTTTGGTTTTTTGTTTTGTTTTGTTTTCTTTTTCCTAGGGGGCAAGCATGGGTGTTTGATTCCAGAAATCAGTACCTGATGAGATTTTTGTCTCAAAACTACATTGGACTTCCACAAACTCTGCCACAAAGCCACTCTGAGGACATTCCCAGGCGCGGGAGCCATGCTGCGCCCAAGAGCCTCCCACAGGACAGCGCCAGCCAGGTACCATGCTTGACCCTCACACCAGACGCCTCGTGTTAAGGAAAAGGAAAGAGAGCTCTAAGGAGTCACGTGGCTCTTCATTTTCATGCACAATTGCAATATTTCCTTCAAAAGTAAAACTGTACAAACTCTGGGCCCGGTTCATAAGCAAAAGTTTGTTGTTAACACGGAATTTTTTAGATACACTTTTTTTCGGCTAAATTTGAAACTACTTCGTTGCCACATTAAATCGATTTCTTCTTCTTTTTTAACCCTAAGCCAGCACCCATTGGCCTTTGATCCCCCAAAGGGTTGTGTTAATCAGGTTAGGGGGCCCCAGGCTGGGCGGGGGACAGGGCAACAGCCCACAGGGCAGGGCCTTCTCTGAGGGCCTGGACCCCCAAGTTCACTCACACCCTCAGTGCCGCGTGCTCAGAACACAAACGTCCCAAAGAGTGTGGCCACAGAGCCCTCATGCAGGTGCTCCATCCGAGCAGGGCGCTGTCCCGGGGACCCGGGGGCCAGCACTGTGGGCTCTCAGGCCCTGCAGGGTGAGTGCATCTGTGAGTCAGGGCCTCATTCCTGCTGTTTTCTGCTCAGTTTCTTAAAATAAGAAGTGTGACGCCCCCCACCCCCGACAGTTATCCTGATTTTTAAGTTGTATTTTTCTCGGCAATAATAGTAAATCGGTTTTCTCATCATCTCAGCAGAAGGCTGCAGGGCCACTGGCCGCAGGGTGGAGTTGTGACAGCCACCCTGCCTCACCCTGGGCTTGCGTCTCTGCCCCGCGAATGTGTTTGCTCACCTTGCATGCATGAGACACCAGCAAACTTGACTAGGAACTCGGTGGGTCCCCGAGGTCCTTAGGGCCCTGGGGCACCTCCCACCGTAGCCTCAACTTCTGCCCAGAACAGATCACGCGCACAGACGCTGTCCTTGCAGTGCCTCGATTTCCATTTCCACTGCGGGAAGCAGGTTGAGCACTTCCAGTGGTGGCAAAAGAACTCCTTTGTGACGCTGAGCAACCCCGTGTTAATAACTTGGTCTGAAAGTGGTTGTTATGAGCCGGGCCCCCTGTGCCTCTAGTGTACCGTACTGACTTTCATAGTTACCCTTTTAGTTTACCGTGTTCTGTGAAAATTTGTAATTGGTTGAGAATCACTGTGGGCATCCATTCTTATTCAACTAAATCTCCACAGATTTTTTGAGCTGGTGTGGATAAGTTTAACTCTTGTATTCAACCATTAGTGCTACCACCTTCTCACATTACAGTACAATTACTGGAAGCAAGTACTGCATTTCCTATGCAACAAAAAGGAAAAATAAAAAAATTGCTAATGCTATGGGAGCAGCGTCGTCATTTGCTGTGCATGGTGCTGGGTGGCTGAGTGATGGAGCTGTCCACACCTGAGCGACCCATGGTGGGGTCAGGCCCGTGGTGAACTTCCCGTGTTCCGGTGGCCAGTGTTGTCACTTACTGGGATGAGTGCAGGGCATCATGCCCACAGCACTCACCTTGTGTGTCAGCCAGCTTCCAGCGCTGGGACACACCCCTGATGGGAATCATCTTCAGGGAGGAGAGGTTTATTTTGCCTCACGGTTCCAGAGGGTTCAGTCCACAGTCAGCTGGCTCCACAGCACCATGGCTGAAGGGGTTGGTGGAGGAGAGCTGCTCACACCATGGTGGCCAGGAAGCAGAGAAGGGGAAGGGGCCAGGACAAGATGTGCCCTCCAGGTGACACCCTGTGATCTGTCCTCCAGCCTTCACCTTCTACAGTGCACTCAGCTGTGAATTCCTCAGTGGGTTCATCTGTCCACACACCAGCGCCTCTGGCCATGGCCCAGTGCCCATCCAGAAGCCCGGCCTCTGGACACAGGACCCTGGGGACACTTCAGATCAAGCTGTTACCCTGAATGCTTTATGTGTGTCAGTGGGGCCCCACCAGGATCAAGAAGAACAGGGTACCCCATGTTTTCCCACAGGATCTCCAGTGTCACCTTGATGCTAGGATTGTAGGTTTCTGCCACCACCTGAAGCTGGGGGAGCAGAAGGGAATGTTGGGTCCTCGCCCCTGGAGAGGGACACAGAGGATGCTCAGGTCTGTGCAGGGTGGGAGGGGCACCAGCTAGGTGTGGACACCACATGACTGGTACCAGACCCCCAAGCAAAGAGGGGTGACTGGTACTAGAACCCAGGGTAGAGTCAAGGGTGCTGGGGTCTGTGAGGAGGCAGGCAAGCTGGGAGTACTGCTGTCTCCTGCTGTGACTCAGATCTGTGACACCCCAGCTGTGAAGCTGGGCAGACCTGAGACTGGTGAGCCCACATCCCACGGGCTTCCCGAGGCTCTCCTGGGAGCTGTTTAGCGAGGGACACTGGAAAGTTCTGAACCCAGACAAATGCCAACCCAGACCCATGAGGCAGAGCAGAGGGTGGCTTGCTAGCGGAGCAGAGCCAGGCCCAAGTGGACTTGAGTCTCATGGCCACCCTGAGAGACAGAGAAACTGAGGCAGAGTATGGTGCAAACGCAGGGAGCCTAGCTCCACGCCACATGGTGCGAACCGTGCACCACCCATGCACGAGTGCTGCCTGAGCTCCTGCTGCACCCTGGCTCCTCCTAGGGTCAGCAGGCGACTCGGGCCGAAGAGCTTGGCTGGGATAGGCGCAGAGCAAGGGGAGCCATGAGCAGCAGAGACGGGGCCCGCAGGAGGCTGAGACAGGAGGTGCCAGTGGAAGGCGGGGCGGGAAGGAGGCCTGCGTGGAGAGGAGTCAGGGCTGGGAAGCCTGCTGGGCGGGAGCATCACGGGCCACGCGGAGGGTGCAGAGCTCAGAAGCAGATGTGTCCTTGGGTTAGGCCAGCCTGGCCGCTGCAGACCAGCCCGGAGCCCCAGGTGGGGATGAGAGGCTCCTCCTCACCCTCCTGCCCCCTGGAGCCCTGCCCTAGATGCCCTTCCCGTGCCACCCCAGGCCACTGCTAGACAGGGACAAGGCCGTGCTGCCCTGGGAGGTGACCACCTCACCCACATCCCCTCAGCCAGCAAGGGCCACAAGACCAGGGGCTCCTGGGCCCAGGAGGGTAGGCTGAGGGGAAAAAAATCCCCCGGAGGCTCCTGTGGCCCTCGGAGTGGGGACGGTGTGGGGCTGAGGGCCGGGAGGGCCGAGAGGCCACAGGCACAGTGGGGCGAGTGTGGGCATCAGCAGCGCTGCGTGCTGCCTGCTGCCCTGCCAAGCGCGCGCCCGTTCCACCCATTCAGCCTAACACCTCCTGTCTCCCTGCTCAGGCGCCGGCGTCTGAGCGCACTGCCCACGGCGCAGGGGAGAGCAGTCTCGCACAGCCGCGCCTCAGGTTCCAGGGACAAACCAGCCACGGCCTTACAGGGCCTTCAGTGTGTAGGTTGGCAGTGGGAATCAAGTCAACCTGAGCCCTGTCCTGACTCCGGCAGTGGGCTGGTGGGTTGGGGCTTCGGGAAGGTGGTGTGACCAAACCCCAGGCCCAGGCCCCAGACTGCCTGGGGTGAGCCTCAGCTCTCCATTTGTGAGCTCAGTGGTGTCGGCGTGTGCAACAGTTTACCCACGGGCGGTTATAACAGCACCCAGCCACCATGCAGGGCCGTCACACTGGGTGCCTGTGGATACTGGATGAGTTGGAACGTGTCGGTGGTTGGACTGGCCTGGCATATTGCAAGTGCGTGAATGCAGTAGCCAAGAGAGAAATGATGCACACCTCAAGTTGTACGGCTACAAATGGGCCTGCACTCTCGATGAGCGAGTGCCGAGCAGCCTTCCCTCCCCTGGATTCAGGATCAGAAGAAATTCTGTGTGAGGCCTCTGCTCCCGCCCTTGGGGCTGCCTGTGCTCGTGTCCCTCCCTGTGGAAGAAGCAGCAGTCGTAAAGGAAGCTGAGGGAATACGAACTGAGTGCTGTGACCAGAGCCACTACCCACGCAGGACGGACTCTCCCCACGGTCAGCCCACAGGTGCCACGCCGCCCACTGCCACTGCTTCGAGGACTCTGCAGGAGCCCAGCTCCCTCTTGCCTGCCCAGGAGAAGGCGGACAGTCAGAACCATGCCAGATGGACCCAGGCCGTCCCTAGGGATGAGGACAGCAGCTTGAGAGCACAGGGCCGTGCTGTCTGGATGAGCGTGGACCTTAGCACTGTGGCCTGTGTGTCATCCCCAGGTAACCCCCCGGGGGCGGGGAAAGGCCACAGCCAGGCAGCCCCAGGGATAGAACCGCAGCGACCTGAGGAAGAGGATGTGTGTGCCGCATGCAGCCCCTCGGGCTGGGATGCCCAGGGCTGCGGGTGCCCCTGGCCTCGAGCACTGCGGGTGGGACTGAGAAGAGAGAGGCAGGCCTCCCCGAGGCCCTGCTGCAGGAAGCAGCGGGAGCACGGGCACTGGTAATTCCAATCCCGCAAAGGCGCACGGCCCGAACGTCCCCGAGTGGCTGGTTGGGCTGCTGCTCAGTGATGGTGTGGTGTTTAGAATCATGAGTTAAAATCAGAGTCCCTTTTCTGGCAGTGCTGGGGAGCAAACTCAGGGCCTTACGAAAGCCGGGCAGTGGCTGCACCACCCAGCAACAGCCCAGCCCACAGGCTTCACTCCTCACACCCAGGTGCCAGCGCTGCAGAGCTCCCCAGCTTCAGTGGCCGCGAGCCCTGAGCTGGGACAGACACAACCCCTTCCTGGGAGAGGGGAGAACACCTAACTCCTTCCACAGCTGCGAGGGCAGACCAGAGTGCCTGTAAGCTGTCATGTAAAAATATTAAAGAGGATAGCTACCAAAACCAAGCCCTGTGGGCTGGGTTCTCCTCGTGCATCACTCAGAGGTTGTTTCACTGAAAACAATGGCAACTCTCCCCACATCACCAGAGACGGTGCCCAGTGACTGAGGTAGCAGCTCCGTCCACACGAGCAGGGTCCAGGGGCATGGAGGCGGAAGGTGGTGACGCACGCACTGCCCATCCCTCCCTGCCTGTGACTGACAGGACCCCCGAGCAGAGTTCCCAGTGATAGGACAGTGGCTGAGGCAGGTGGAGCTCAGCCAGTGAAGCCCTCACCTTGTGCTTGAACTCTGAGGAGTGCTCAGAACTCATGATCAAGGTATAAAATTCACTGTAAAAATACTCATGATGAATCAACTGTGAAGAATTGTAAATAGCCAGATCTAGCATCCCAGGTTTTTACCTTTTCCTCGGGCTCCCGTATGGCTCAGTGTGACCCTGAAAGGAGAAAAGAAAGCTGTCTTTCTGCACAGGGCAGATTGTTGTCTCTGAAGAAAATCCAAAGAATCTACAAAAAGTTCCTAGAACTAATAAATGAGAACAGCAAGTGCATTAGGTTGCTGGGGTCCTGTCACAAAGACCCCATTTTCATGGCCTCATCCTCCCTAAGCCCTTCTGAGGGCTGCACGGTGGCTTTAGGACTTCACCACATGCATTTGGAGCAGTGATGGCGAACCTTTTAGAGACTGAGTGCCCAAAACACAACCCAAACCCACCTATTTATCACAAAGTGCCAACACGCAGCTAAACCCAAAAACTGAAGTTTAAGTTTATAAAGAACAACTCATACATTAACATCTTTTGTCCTAAAAGAAAAACATAATAGCATGTGTGCTGTAGGTTCATCACCTTTGATTTAGAGGGTAGAGAAAACAGCCAGTGTTCAATCAGTGATAGCACATGCTTAACGCACAAACATCAGTTACGTTTCTGTGTGATAGTGGTGAGCACCTGGAGCTGAATATGGAAAGTACTTGATAGTGGTGAACACCTGGAGCTGAATATGGAAAGTACTTGATAGTGGTGAACACCTGGAGCTGAATATGGAAAGTACTATCTGTGGTAGCATGCCACAGAGACTTAGTATAGTCTTAACTTTCCCATCTTGAAACAAACTGCCTGACACCAGCAGTTAAGGAGCAGAGGTTTATTTGGCTCAGGTTCCACCAGGTTCAGTCCATGCTCAGCTGGCTCCAAGGCAGAGACGCAGGGTGGAGAGGCCTGGCGGAGGACAGCCGCTCATTCCAGGCAGGAAGCAGAGAGAGTGGGGAGGAGGCAGGGACTTGAATACCCCTTCCAGTGACCACCCCCAGCCAGGCCCCACCCCCTAGCAGCATATAAACTCATCAACAATGAACCCACTAATGAGAATAGCACCCCCATGATCTCATCAACTTCCAAACACAGGAGACTTGGGGGGGGCATTTTAGATCTAAACCATAACATTCCACACCAGACCCCCATGTCCATCTCATTATACAGAATGTATTTAGTCCATTTCTAAGAGTCACCAAAGTCTTAACAGTTCTAGTATCACTGAAAAATCCAAGTCCAAAGTTTC